GTCATAGGTTGGCATATATGAGAGCCAGCATGGTTTACGTGTCGAACTACAGTTCTGGAGACCAGGGTTCGAATCCCGGCTCGGCCATGGAAACCCACCTTGGTCAGGTCACACTCTCTCAGCCTCAAGGGAAGGCCACGGCAAAGCTCCTCTGAACCAATCTTTTTTTTTATAAAAACCACCAGATCACTGCAAAGAGACACCTAAGACTCCCTGCAAGTCTCAAAGTAACTAAAAAGCCAGTTACTGTTACCCTGCAAACCTACTTGTTGCACAAACAAATTAATGCCAAGTTGTTAATTACTTGCAAAAGTTATTTGCAAAAGCAAATATAAACGACAGCCATCCAGCAATGGAAGACAAAAACCCTGTCTACCATAACCTCATGCTACCAACCTTCTCCAACTATGCGTCTTTTTTTCTCTGCACACTACACAATTACCACCATCTGATCCCACTTTGATGTCTCTGTCCTATGGAATCCTGGGATTTGTAGTTCGGGGAGGGACTTGCAATCCCCTGCCAGACAAACTGTAATGCTGGAGTTCAAGGCAGGTCACTAGAGAAATCTTAGTACACTACCTTCCCAGACTACAAACCCCAGGATCCCTTAGGACAGAGCCATGGCAGTTAAAGTGGGATTAATCTGCTTTAATTCTGTACAGGTGCGGACATACTCTTAACTCAGCTGCTGTCATTGAAGGTCCTACTCATGAGGAGGGCCTTGTGTAAAATGCCCCAGATCCTACTGGAGATAGTGTGGTGTCTTAACATGAGTACTGGAGACCAGGGTTCGAATCTCCACTTGGCCATAGCAACCCACTGGGAGACCTTGGGCAAGTCACACTCTCTCAGCCTCAAAGGAAGCCCAGGGCACAAACTTCCTCTTGCCAAGAAAACCCCATGATAGACTCACCTTAGGGTAGCCATATGTCAGAAATGACTTGAAAGCACAATATCAATAACAATAATAATAATAATTTATTTGATTGTTTTTAAAGGCAAAAACCCTTGCATTTTAATGGCAAAACCTTGCATTTTAATGGCAATACCTTGGATTTTCAAAGTGAAACTTTGAATTTTTCAAGGCAAAACCTTGCATTTTTAATGGCAATGCCTTGGATTTTATAAGGCAAAACCTTGCAATATAAAGGCAAAAAAACGTTAAGCAGTGTGCAAATAATTCAGAGTATTTGGTTAAGATAAGGCCACTTTGCAAAGGAAACATGTACCCCAAAATTGTCAATGCATTGCAAAAAGAAGACAGCTCAACAAACCACAAATGACTTGCCTTCTTTCCTTCTTTATTTTATTTTATTTGCGCCTTCTGCCTTATCTTGGGAGGAGGGAATGCTGGTTTTTAAATGCAAGGTTTTTTGCCTTTATATTGCAAGGTTTTGCCTTATAAAATCCAAGGCATTGCCATTAAAAATGCAAGGTTTTGCCTTTAAAATCCAAGGTAGGGCTGAGATTTTCTTCTGAGATGAGAATCCAAGGCCGGCTCTACCACTTTTCCTCAGGCGGCGGATTTTGTTGGGGCGGCAGAGGTGGCGTGATCAAGGCACTGCCCTTGGAATTGGATTTTTGCCTTTTTGCATTCTGGTGCCCCTTGCACAATACATGCACAACCTGCCTTGCGTTTCCTAACAGGGCTGCCCCAAAATAATTTGCCACCTGAGGCAAAGAACAAAAATGTGGCGCCTCTTTCCATTCCCCATCCAGAAGCCAAATGGATGAAGCAAATGCTTCATCCTTCAGGACATCCAAAGGTGTCAGGATACCTGAAGGGAGACAGGACAGGCTGGACAGGACATTGCCATCCCCCCAGGATCTGCTGCCTGAGTCAAGCCACCTCACTTTGGCTTCATGCCTTTTCTCCAAGCTCTTTGGCTTGCCTCGGCCTCATCTGCACTGCAGAATTAATGCAGTCTGATACCTCTTTAACATCCATGGTCCCATGCTAGGAAATTCTAGTACTATTTAGCCAGCTCTGGCGCCACCACAAACTACAAATCCCAGGATCCCATAGGATGGAGCCGTGGCAGTGAAAGTGGCATCAAACTTCCATTATTTCTGCAGTGTGGCTGCATCCCTTAACTGGGATAGACATTCATTGAGAGAAGCTCTCCTTCACGTTGTTGTTGTGTCCCTTCAAGTTATTTCCAATTTACGGCAAACCTATCATGGGGTTTTCTTGGCAAGTGAGGGTTTGCCATGGCCATCCTCTGTGGCTGAGAGAGTGTGACTAAGCACCTGCTGGCGAAACCATTCTGGACAGGAAATGCTGGGAATTGAGACTGAGACCTAGAATCAGAGAATCAGAGAGTTGGGAGGTATCCCAAGGGTCATCCAGTTCAACTTCATTCTGCCATGCAGAAATACATAGAATCCTAGAGTTGGAAGGGACCCCCAAGGGTCATCTAGTCCAGCCTCCTTCTTCCATGCAGAAATACATAGAATCCTAGAGTTGGAAGGGACCCCCAAGGGTCATCCAGTCCAAATGCCCTTCTGCCATGCAAGAATACAGAGAATCCTAGCATTGGAAGGGATCCCCAAGGGTCATCCAGTCCAACCTCCTTCTGCCATGCAGGAATACGTAGGATCCTAGAGTTGGAAGGGACCCCCAAGGGTCATCCAGTCCAACCCCATTCTGCCATGCAGGTATACAGAGAATCCTAGCATTGGAAGGGACCCCCAAGGGTCATCCAGTCCAGCCTCCTTCTGCCATGCAGGAATACGTAGGATCCTAGCGTTGGAAGGTACCCCCAAGGGTCATCCAATCCAACCCCCCTTCTGCCATGCAGGAAGACACCATCAAAGCACCCCCAGCCAATGGACATCCCAGCCTTTTGGAGCAGTACAAACAAGGATCCTCTTTTGGAAGTGGCGAGTTAAACCTGATCTCTCTTTCTCATGTGAGTCATGAGCAAGGGATGGACACCTCTGGGCCCGCCGCATGTGTGCACAATACCACACCCGGGCCTTTGTCATATTCAAGGGAACAACCGCCAAAGGTTGCTCATAATCCCCAAGGCTCAATTGTTCTGCCACCTATCTTCCTCCTTTCCTTGCCCCAGACCAGTTCCACCGCTCTCTGCTTCCTTCATTCGATAAAAAGACATCAATCCGGCTGACTATTAATTCATCAGCAATTGGTTAACTTTGGCTCCATCCCAGGCTTCGACTCCAAATGCCCCAAATTCCAAATGCCAACTTTGGAAAGTTGGCATCGGCGCCATGTCCCACCAAACCTAAGCAGACTTTAGATTACGAAAGCTCACGCTGCCAACTTCTCTCTTTCAGTTATTCTCAAAGGGGCTTCAAGGCCTCTCTGCACAAAACCTAGCCCGCCAAACTACAGATCCCAAAACTCCGCAGCATGGAGCCAGAGGGCTATTAAAGCAGCATCAAACAGCATTTAAATTCTGCAATTTCGATGCAGGCCTATATACAACAAGGCTCTGGCCTTCCCAATCCGGACTGTAATGAAACGTAAATAAATCTAGGATCCTATTACAGATCCAAAGAAATAATCCCACTCAAATTATCAATAACCACAGTCACAAATTATTGCATTGTTTGACTTCTTATTACAGTATTTATGTATTATTATTATTATTATGTGGCTTCAAGTTGCCTGTGGACTTATGGGGACCCCATTAATTTTGTAGGTTTTCCTTAGGCAAGGAAGACTCAGAGGTGGTTTTAGCCAGTTCCTTCCCCTGAAAGAGAGCCTCCAGCACCTGGTTTTCATTGATGGTCTCCCATCCAAGGACCAACCAGGGCTGAGCCTGCTTAGCTTCCACGATCATTCGGGATCTGGTGCCTTGAGTGTATTTAGAACCTCTCTGGAATCACTAATTTTTGCTAATACAATGCTGGTGAACCAGGAGGCCAAGGAGAGAGGTGATCAACCGTCGGCAAAGAGTTTTCTTACACTAAACTATTCTGCTATTCGACGGCTCAGTTAAAACTCTTGCTTTCTTCTGACCCCAAAGTCAACAACGGTGGATCTGAAATAGAATAAAATATAAAAGGGAAAGATAAATTCACCTTCTAATAAAACAATCAGGATGTAAAACCCTCCTTGAAAAGCAACAATAATAAAAATTACTCACCCACTTGGCCCTCTCTAACCAAAAACTATAAAATACCCATTAAACACATATGATTTATTTGATTTAAAAACAGACGTGCTGGAATTGCTCAAGAAATGCATTTTTTGCAAGGGCTGCCAGAGGCGTCACACAACCTCTTCCAACTCTATGATTCTTGGATTTTGCTAGGACTAGGACTCCGGGAGACCAGAGTTCGAATCCCAGCTCAGCCATGGATGAAATGGGCAAGTCATTCTCTCTCTCTGGGTGCATCTGCGCTGTCGAAATAATGCAGTTTGACACCACTTTAACTGCCATGTCTCCATCTGACCAAATTCTGGTAGTTGGTGAGGCACTGGCCCTCTTTGGCAGAGAAGGTGAAAAACCTTGTCAAACTATAAATCCCAGGATTGCACAGGACTGAGCTGCAGCACTTAAAGTGGGGTCAAACTGCATCATTTTGACAGTGCAGATGCACCCTTGGCCTCAGAGAAAGCAATGGCAAACCTCCTCTGCATCTTGCCAAGGGCATTTTTGTCGGAATTGAAGGCCCATAATAAAAGCTGAGTTGACCCCACACCCAGGACATGATGGGCTTTTCAGTACATGTTTGTCACAGCAAGATGAACTGGGATAAGGAAAGCCTCAAGACAGTGATCGATGGACCCTGTCATGAACCAAAGGCATGAAGTTGTGCCGGATAACTATATATCCCAGGCGCGTGGGCACAGGAGGTCAAGCGTCTCCAGTGAGCCCTTGCAAGACGCCGGAAGATCCAGTCAAACAGCATTGCTGAGATGGTGGCGAGTCCTTGACGTTTCCTAAGATCCAACGTGGAGATTCCTCCAATCATGTATTGATTATTGATTGGATTTATACCCTGCCTTTCTCCCCAAAACAAGAGCCAGCGTGGCGTAATGGTTTGAGTGCTGAACTACGACTACGGAGACCAGGGTTCGAATCCCCCGCTCGGCCGTGGAGTCCCACTGGGTGACTTTGGGTGAGTCACACTCTCTCAGCCTCAAGGGAAGGCCAGGGCATGCCTCCTCTGAA